TTATCGTTACGACCCGCTCACCCGCCCTGGAGACGTCCGGTCCATCTGCACATAGAACTTTGTGAAGCTTTGGCAGCACCGATGCAGATCATGGTGATTTTATCGCAGGACGTGGCCAACCAGAATCCTCTCTTTTATCATCAAGATTTCGTCCAGAACATCCGTCACAAGCTAGTGTTCCTGTTGCTTGTACGTACGGCACGACAAGAAAGGCTGTATCCGGCAGCACCGGGTGTATTCCTGCTCCCTACGATTATCTGGTCCGGGAGAGAAGAGAAACGTTGTTGGTGTTACGAAAACCGCGAAAACTTGTTCATGATCTACACTTCGAGCGGAGCGGTCGCTTGTGGCCTGCGGGAAACCCCATGCAAAGTCAAGCGCATCAGTCAACAGCTCAAGAGAATCTCGGGTTTCTTCATGGTCCATTACTTCCTGATGCTCAGGTGCAACGCCACAGACACTGAAGTCACTCTCTTCATCTGGACTACTGAAAAGGAGGCGGACTTCTTGAGATTCGTATTGATGACGCGGTGGACCGTTCTGGATCCGAAAGGCTCCAATTGTTTTTCGTACATACCGATGGCTACTGTGGACGTCACGGCACTCGTTAAGCCCTTCGAACCGGCAGTGTGGTGTCTTATTGTACTAACCGTATCCATATTAGCCAAGACACTGTCTCTCATGATGCGAGGATCGAGCCTGACCTTTTGGTCTGCGATCTGGACAAGCACCATAACTGTTCAGGAGCTGAAAGTCGCTCTAACTTCATATTCCGCAACAGCGATCTCGTGTGTGACCCTGATATTCACCTTCCTGATCGCGCAACTCTATACGAACAGCGTCATGTCATCGTTCCTGGATCCGACCGTCGAAGTGCCCCGCGGCCACCGCTTCTTCACTTGCCAGAGTAATCTCTTCTGCTACAACAGGGAAAATCTCGACTATGTCCTGACTTTGTCGCCTGTTTGTCATATCCCGCTCCACATGCTGAGTGCAGTCCCGAGACCCTTGCGAATATTCGTGCCCCGAGAAGAGAAGCAGAACATGATTGTGAATTTCGAGACAACATCGCACACTCACTACTACTCTGCAGTGGTCCGACCGCTTCAGCTTAGTGCAACTCGACCCAGCGATTTGCTGGACCGGATCATACAGCATGGCATTGTTTCATCCCCGAGACTAAGAATTGCAGAGGTGCACCTGATGCTGGGGCGCGGAAGAACGTTGAGCAGCAGCATCGAGGACGCTGTCACGCTGAAGCACCTCAAGGCGTCGATGAAGCTATACAATGTGTCGAGCAAGGCAGCATTCGAGTATGCATTCTTCAACACGACGAGAGACGAGTTCGATATCGACAGTTTCATGAAGATCATACCGATATTCGGGACTTGTGTTTTCTTTGTCGTGGGAGCTCTCTATTCCGAGATATATTTGCCGATGCTGTCTCACGAAGTGCTTAGTTTTGATTATCTCAAACGCCGCTTCAATCTGGGGTAAAAAGAATCACAAGAAACAGAACTAGACGACTCCTGCCCCCGATCAGCTCGAGGAAAGAACGGAGTAGAATAGCATAAATTCATAAAGGTATGTACGGAGTGCCCGACCGACTTGGTCGGAGATATTTGAGCTAAGTCGCCTCGAGGAAGCAAAATGGAGCTCAATTCTTGGGTGAGATTGTCGAGAAGGCTGAGAGCTCAATCCGAGGGCGAGGGAGAAGGTCTGGATTTCACCCGAGGATATGTTCCGGATGCAAGAGCATTCCAATTTCGGGAAGGAAAACGCTTTCAATCAGACCATTCGGGAGATCCGGACGCCCCTCTGAGCGGCGAATAAGGTATTTATCGACTCGGCCGTGCAATATACAAGAAGACCCAGTTCTAAATAAGCCTCCACATGAGAGCCATAACGGTGTACTTGTATGTCCAGCCTAAAGTTGACTTCCGGAGCCTGCAAAATCAAATTGAAGCTTGAGCTGAAGACTTCAGTCGTCAGGGATCGCTATCCGTGGAAGACCTGTGACACAAACTTTTTTCGCGTAACATTCTGAGATTGAGTCAGGGCTACCGCATCATCCGCTCCAGATACCGTCTGCTCCGTCCCTTTTCTCTTGGGTCCACAGTCCCCGGAGTGCGAGAAAGTTTCCGATTCTCATCACCTCAAGGGTATGATACTTCATGCAGTGTATAATCCCGAGAAATCCTTGCCCTATGTCCAGTAGGTACTCCCATGCTTATCCCATATGTCGAGCATCGATCATGTCGAACAATAGCACTTGACCGCAAGAATGAACTCACCGTTGTTTTCTATACTCCCAACGCTCTCGAAGTTCTCCAATTTCATTATCTCACCTGGCTGTAGTACAGGCATCCCTTCTCAGCGATGAAAGTTTTCATCGGCGACTTGTTTTTCTCAGTCAGTGGTGCTCTGTGCTGTGTAAGAATGACGCACATGCCGGCGGCGACGAGATCATCATCAACTTCCATGATCAGCGAGATAATCTCAATCAATCCCTTCTCCCGGGCCGTTTATTGAAGCAGGCACGCAGCCGTGTCCCTCTCATTCCTGTTTGAGCGTCCCCTATCCGCGGAGAGACCTTCTCTTGTTTGAATGCCGTATATGCTGATTTTTGGACAGTGATCTATTCCGAGTTTGTTCCCCATTCGATCCTCACGATGAGCAAAGGTGCTACCGGGTTGCACTGACGCTACTGGGGCTACCGTCGTCGTCGTCGACGGATACTCCTTTTGGACCAATCAGCAAATTACTTCTAGAAAACGTCTTGGTCACTCAGTCGCCTTCCGCCGACGATCATAAGTTGCGGAGTTCCAGGGTCGAAGCTATCTATATTCCTTCCAAGATCTCATCTGAATTCTTCAGCTCCTTCTGCGGGGGATAGAGGCAAGATACCGTCAATATAATGATCTTTTATAGTCAGAGTCGCGACATAAGAGGATGCTACATAAGAAGACACGTTCTTTCGGTTTAGACCGCTGCTTTGGATATAACAGAAAGTGCGTTGGTAACATCTAAACGATGATGAATAGACATCCGAGTTCACCCGAGTGTTGTTTATCGGGAAAACCAATGGAGAAATTAAGTAACTCCTTCAACCGCGCCGGAAACATAGAATGTCCGATGTCCGTGCGCACATGGCTTGCTCTCCGGAATTCCCGAGAAAATAGCCACAAATCCGATTGAGATTGAGTTCTCGCGCTATTTTCTGCCTTCGACAGCGAGGTCTCGGTAGCATGAGCATGAGCCTAGGATTGGATCGAAAATTTTCACCCAAGCGAATCGTCTCTTTGCGATGGTGAATAGACATTCGAGTTCACCCGACTGTTGTTTATCGGGAAAATCAATGGGGGAATTAAATAACTCCTTAAACCGGGCCGGGAACATAGAATGTCCGATGTCCGCGCGCAAAGGGCTTGCTCTCCGGAATTCCCGAGAAAATGGCACCAAAGCCGATTGAAGATTGAGTTCTCGCGCTATTTTCTGCCCTTGACAGCGAGGTGTCGGCAGCATGAGCATGAGCCTAGGATTGGATCGAAATTCACCTAAGAAAATCGTCTCTAAGCGATGATGATTAGACATTCGAGTTCATCCGAGTGTTGTTCATCGGGAAAACCCATGGAGAAATTAAATAACTCCATAGACCGGGCCGGAAACATAGAATGTCCGATTTCCGCGCGGACAGTGCCCTTTGTTTCGAGACAAGAATGGCCTCTTATATGCCAACACAGAACAATTCGATACGCATGCTGGTATACCATCTTCATGGAACTAGTACACCAGATACTCTAACGAACGAGTCCCGAGTATAGTCTCGCTGAGCTTCGTCTTATATCCGGAAGTTGCCCATTTCTTTAAGACTGCCCGTCTATGAATGACTATCCGGCTATTAGAATGTTCAAGGTCGGTCGGTCCGAAAAGCAATTCCATGAATCTGCCCTTCGAGTCATCTCACCGAGAGAAGTTCATGCAGTTCCGAGCGGTCGGGAGAAGCAGCGCTTTTCCGTCGAGAGCTCGTTCTCTTTATTGCATTCGATTCGAATCGTTTGATAGGAAATTGATGATACGTCAATCGAAAATAACGTCAAACTATAATGACTGAGCGGTCGCAGTCGACGACGAGTATGCGAAGTCAAACACGATTCGTGTCGATGGATACCTATTGACCTCTGCTCCCCACCGTTTCATTCTCAAATCCACGCGACCTTGGCGTAACCCGGGAGTCGTCGACTATTCTCTCCTCGAGGATTATCCCGAAGCCACCGGAAGATACTGGTTTTTATTTTTTTAATAGGTTACATTGTACAGAAAACCTATCGACTTGGTACCGCCTCCGAAACTCGAAGAACATCCTTGCGCTCCCTCTGAGAGGAACCCAATCTCCTTACGACAATTTGGTGATTTAGTGATGCCCATTCCAGGAGGACACGCCTCGACGACTCCTCGGAACTCCTCTCTCATCGCCTTATGTTAGGAACCCTCGTAGGAAACCTCGTGTGTTTTCGTTCTCTGCATACGAGGGAGCGCTAGAGCGATTGTGCACTTCCTTGCCCGAGCCGGAACGGACAATCCATGCCTTCATTCGAGGAATTCCAGGTTCTTGGCGACCATTTGATCGGAGAGTTCGTGGATCCGGATTTACCTATGCGCATTTTCGCTCCCCGCTCTATCTGTACCAATGAGACGAATGCCATCGCCACTGATCAACCCATTCAGTCCTCTAAGGGAACATTGATTGGTTTCATGTCTTTTCCGTCGCGGAGATGTCCGCGCTGCTGACATCATCGAGACGTAGGTGTTTGATCCAGACTTGTTTGACGGTCAGCACGTTCGCTGACTGTTTGGCGCGTTTGCCCTAGCCAGCCGATCATGTCTCCATTGCGCGAGCTTCGGAGCGTTGCCATCGCGCGACCTCGGAGGCAGCGGCTGAACACACACTCTCGCTTACTTCGAATAAAACTCTCTTCTCTCGACGATATCGAAAAGTCCGCCCGGAGATCGACCATCAAGAGGGCAGCAGCGAGCGAAGGCAAAACGCTCAGACCTCTACGGCCGCCTCTTTTCTTACGTTATATGTATATTTGACGGGTGCGCGACGGTATAGGTCAACAGCTGAAGGAAGAGATGTTGCTGCTAAGTGTTGCGGCGTCCGTGTTCGTGGCTTTCGTGAGCGCATCCCCCGAAGAGGAGAAGCTTCTGCAGAGTCTACTCCACGACTACAGTTCGATTACTCGCCCGGTCCTCAATGTCAACGACTCGCTGACCGTGAACCTCACCTACACTCTGGTCGATATCGATGCAGTTGACGTCGACAGCAACGAGATTTCGGTTCAGGGTTGGCTGCAGATGGGCTGGAAAGACATGCAGCTCAGATGGGACCCGTCGCAGCACAGTGGAGTCAAGAGCCTCCATGTCCCCTGCGATACGATCTGGAGACCCGACATAAAAGTCTACAATGGCCCAGACGCAGCCATGGATTCGACTCTCGCGATCGTATACAGCGACGGAAACGTTCTCTGGGTTCCGCCATTCAAAGCCAATATCCAATGCGAGATGAAGCCGCTCTGGTATCCTTTCGATGTTCAGAACTGCAGTATTGTCCTAGGCAGCTGGACATACGACGTCTCGATGGTGGACCTCCAGATCGGAGCCGCGCAACCGACCGAATTCCGTAAAAACAAAGAATGGAAACTCGTCGCCTTGGAACACAGACGTTTCGAGAAAAAGTACAACTGCTGTGAGAACGTTTACCCCAGCATCGAAGCCCAAATCACAATTCGACGACATGGCTGCAGGAATTTGCTCAGCAAAGCCCTTCCTGTCGCCGCCCTAGCCGCCCTCGGACTCATGACGATGCTCATCCCGGCACCACGAGCGGAGATTCGTCTCTTGGTCGTGACGCTCCTCATCGGCTCTGCGTTGATCATTGCGGATTTCAGTGACGCCCCGGACTCTTTCAACGCCATGTCTTTATTCAATTTCCAGATGATTCTAGTTTTGGCCGGCTGTTTCTTGTGCAATTGCATTCATCTCGCGATTCTCCGTGGTGGTTTCGATGCTAGCCTGCTCGAAAAGCTCGCTGGTCTGGTTTCATCGAACGAAAAGTCGGAAAATCTCATTACAAATGTTGAGCAGCGATACCATCGGACCTTGGACACACTCTTCAGCATGCCATTGACTTTCGTTTTAGTTATGTCGATAAGTCTCTTCTCCTTGCTCCCATTACTCAAGTGATGGGTGTAGAGCCGCTGGGAGCCTGTCTCCAAGCTAGTTTGTCGACTTGACCAGATACATCGCTCGGAGATTCATTTGGCGACCGGGCAACCCGTCACGCATTGATTGGGTTGAGAAGGAAGTCGGAAGAATAAAGTTATTCTGGCGTGATTCTCCACAATTGTCACAATTGTTATCCTGGCGTGATCCTCCAACTGAGAATCAGATGCATGTTTCCACGCGTGTTCTTATTGTTAGTTCATCGATGGTTTCTTCCACCGCAGTCGAGGCGAGGGATCTTCGAGCTTCTCGCGAGCTATTTAGCGACTTGTCGGCATCGCTCTTCGGAGAAATGATGGCATTTCACGCGCGGTCGCTCACATCGGGATGACTTCCCCGGGCTCCATCGAGAGCGCAGCCTGACCGAGTTTTTCCGTGAGGAGACGACCGCTCTGACTATCACATCGCGAGCATATACTAGGGATATACCACCGAAACGAGAAAATATTCTAGAGTGCGCTACCTCCCGCTGAGAATCAAAATTCCATTACAGTTTAGTGGCATTATTTACATCAAGTTCTCAGCTACACATAACGGTCCCTGACAGGGAATGACAGGCACTCCCTGTCATACGAATCTAAGTGCAGGCGGCTCCTCGAGTTTCCTCTGAGAATGTCGAAATTCGTGCCCGACAAGAGCGTCATCCAGAACTTCCTCATCTCCTGCTTCCACTTGAAGAAATGTGTAATTGAGGAAATGTGTAAGGCACATTCTCTCCTCATTGAGGCATATGGCGGTCAAGTTCTGAGCAAAGCTCGGTGTTACGCGTTGTACCCAAGCTTCAAACCGGGGAATTTCGACATGAGCAATGAACCGTGGGGAAGACCCGTATCTCGAAATGTCGGAAGTGTCGAAACTCAGAGGTCAGCCGGATCCTTCCCCCAGAGAGCATCGTATCGAGCGAGAATTCGGGAAAGCTCCGAGCCGTCTGAGATCGCGCTTGCATGTCACCTCGCTCCTTCTTTTTCGTAGTCTCTGAGAGCTCCCAGCTCAATCGAACAAAGACTGATCCGAGATCTTAAACGGCTACATGATCCAATGCGAGGGCTCTGCGAGTGGGGCGTTCTGAGTTGTACCGCCACCAAGATCGAAGAACGAGGATCGAGTGACAAGACTGGATCAGTCAGTGAATCGAACTCCCGGAAGTGGAAATGAATAGATGATCGACCAAGAGAAGTAGTACAAAGCGGAAACTTCCGACCGCTTCATTCAGCAGGACCCGATATGTCTCTCTCGAACGAAGCGTTTGGTACGGAGGTCATACAAAAAGGGCTGCCGCTTGCATTAAAGAACCTCTGGAGGCTCTTCAGTACCCCCTCACAGAGGTCTAGTCTGTCCCACACAAGAAGACTTCGCCTCACTTCGCTGCGGAGTTCGAAGCTCCTGGTGTCCTCGAAGTCGATTCGAGGCCAGTTCTTCTCCGTCATAGATCGTGTTCCCTCCAAGAAACTTCCCGTTCATTGTAGAAAGCGTCTTCCGTGAGTCATGTGGAAAAGCGCCGTGTTTTTGCTGACGGTCGCGAGCATCGCTGCCGCCGCGGAAGTGAAATCCAGGAGGGTCCGGGATTCGAGTACTTCGATATTCAATCCGTTTCCTTTCTTGCAAATCGTGCGTTTCGCGAATGACGAGTGTGCTGCCGAGTCAGCCTCTTCCGGGACGTGCTACACCGCCAAGGAGTGTGATGATCTGAAAGGTCACATTCAAGGCGATTGCGCTAACGGCTATGGATCTTGCTGTGTCTTGACCTACAGCTGCCGAGAAACTATGCGCCACAACCTTTCCTACTTCGTGCCACCCTCGTACCCAGAGAAGGAAGAAGAAGCGAACGTCTGTCCCCTGAAAATCGCATTTGAAGCCACGATCTGTCAGATCCGCTTAGATTTCGAGCGCTTCGACATCCTCGGACCGAAAGGCGGTGATTGCGTGGACGATCTTTTCGTCGTACTGGGAGGGAACGTCAACCATAGAGTCCCCGTGATTTGCGGTCAGAACGCCAATCAACATATATACGTCAACGTTGACACTGTCGAGGGTCCTCTGGAACTCCAAATGATCACCGGTATCGCTCGCTACTCGAGAGATTGGCGGATCAAAGTGTCCATGGTGCCTTGTGATTCTCCCTTCAAGGCACCAAACGGTTGTCTCCAATTCTTCACGGGAGGCGTGGGCAACTTCCGCAGTTTCAACTTTAATCAGCCCGACACAAATCGTTCGGGATACTTAAACTCCGTGGATTACGCGATCTGCCTCCGACGGGAACGAGACATGTGCTACGTCACCTACTCTGTTGGACGCGGAACGGGGAACTCGGAAAACTCCCCCGGCAAGAAGGATAATGCGGCTGCGAGTACTCCCACCACAACGCCCAGGGGACCTCGGGACAACTCACTCATTCGATCGAACTCTTTCGGCATCGCCACATCGACCGATAAATCGATGGATTTCCAGAGCGACTCCAAAGGTGGATCATCTAAGTGCACGGGCGATTACTTGGCAATATTCGGCCTGGAACGGTTTTGCGGAGGGGCTTTCAGCTTGACGTCGGGCAGCAAAGAAAACCAGCCCATAACGGTGAAGGACTCGGGACCTCTGATGGTCTTGTTCAAGTCGGATAAGACCTTCAACGGACGTGGCTTCGACATCGACTTCGTACAAGGACCTTGTATGCCCATAACATTCTTCTAGGGGGAAGTGAACTCGCCTCGAGCGAAATTCGCTCTCTCAGGACAGTCGACAACTATATGGGGAATGAATATATGTGTAAATACCGCGAGGATTTCATCGAGCATCGTATGTGTTTCGGACGCTTGTCTACTCCATGTATATTCTACGCATGACCTTTACGTATTCGCTTATTTGTAAATAAAGTTATTCAATACCATGTAAACCACAACCTGTGGGTCCTTTGTCTGGATTATATTTAGGCTAATGGCTTATGACGGGTCGTCGCAATGCGAAGAAAGGGGTGGAGGAGGATACTGAATTTTTTATTTGATGACGGCGTATTTGCATCCTGTGAAATTTTTTCTGATACGGATTCTCGGAATTCTGAACTCTATCCGGGGGATGCGCGATCGACGGCTCTTCTGATTTCTCTCCAATCCGCGAATTCCAAGATAAATTCGGAGAGTCGTCGGTCGCTGTAACAACTTTCAGATCAGATGAAGACGAGAGTCCACCAGAGTCAGAGATTATCCGGGCGGAAATTAGGATCATAGGTCGCTCGAAGGGGAATCCCGGGCTCGAATCTGCGTCGAATCTCGTGATATTCCGGCACAATGGCACTCTCGACATTTAATCCGTCTTCCGAAACTCAGCTTCGGGCGCGGAGCTCGAGAAGAGCTGCGGCAGCGAAAAGTCCCACGTATAACTCGTTTCGTGTCTCGCCTCCGTCACGAATCCGTCTCTGGTTCTGTTCTAGACGAAGGCTTGAGCTACCACTGGTGTACAGGGTCCCTGTTGGTAGTTGATATTGAAACCGCGACCATTGAAAGCCTTATCCGACTTGAACAGAATCATGAGGGGTCCGGAGTTTTTCACGGTCACAGACTGACTTTCACGGCTACCGGAATTCAGATTGAAGGCGCCCCCACAGAAACGATCTAGACCGGGAATCGCCAGATAATCCCCAGTGCATTTTGAGAGTCCTGCAGCTGCTTGCAACTCGATCGGTTTCCCTTCCGACGTCGACGTCGCTATTCCGAAAATTCCTGTTCCAAGAGCGTGTTCATGATCACGAGATGATTCGGTCGAGGTACCAGATGATGAGACCCGGGAAGTATCGTTGGCTCCAGACTCGATATCGGGGCCGTCTTTCTCGATCCTCACAGAGTACGTCACCGTGCACATGTCCCTCTCCCGACGGAGACAGATGGCGTAATCCGCTCCATTCAAATAACCCTGACGATCTTCGTCCCTCTGATAGAAATTGAAACTTCGCAGCTGTCCAGTGATTCCAGTGAGATACTGGACGCAGCCTACGGGCGCCTTGTATGAGGAGTCGCACGCGATCATTGATATCTTGATCAGCCAATCTCTAGCGTACGGGGTGATCCCAGTGATCATCTGCAGCTCGACGGGGCCCTCCACGGTGTCAACATTGATGTAGATGTGTTGATTGTCGTTCTCTCCACATATGGTCGGAACTTTATGGTTCGAGTTACCTCCCATGACGACGAAGAGATCATCTCGACAATCACCGTCCTTCGGACCGAGAATATCAAATCGGGTGAAGTCTAAACGTATCTGACAAATATTCGCTTCGTAGGCGATCTTCAGAGGACACACGTTGGCCTGAACCTCCTTGTTCGGATACGATGGGGGCACGAAGTAGGAAACGTTGTGATGGACAGTTTCCCGGCATTGGTACGTCAGGAAACAGCAGACTCCGTAGCCATCCGCGCACTCTCCCTCGATCTGCCCTTTCAGATCCTCGCACTCCTGGTAGGTGTAGCACGTACCGGCAGAGCCAGATTCGGTCTGGCATTCGTCGTTTGCAAAACGAACCAGTTGGGGATAAGGGAACGCTCTATAGACCGAGGAAGAGGAAGTGGAGTAAATCGAGTCGCGACGTTGCCTCGCGCTGGGAATGGCCGTCGAAGCAGCGAGCAACGAAGACCAGAGCGTAATTTCCCACCACATGGCGGCGGGAAGACAATGGGGATCGCACTTGGCACGAGCGCTTCAGCTGACACTCTGAACGGAATCGGGATCCTCGGAGTTCACGTTGTTTTCAATCGGACCAGATGACTGGCGAAGACTTTAAAGCTTCGGACCAGTCCGCTCTTATCTGAATGTTGTGTTCGCTCGGGAGGCTCAACTGCTTTCGTCTGGCGATTGTCTCGCGGATCGACCCGAAGGTTCTAGAAACGGTCCGCGCCGATGGATCTCGGTCTGAGTCGACTACGGTTCCTGAAGCAATCGCCACCGTGTTCGAAGCCAGTGAGAGCTCGGCCGGCCCAAAGAGCGATCCAGGGCTGAGGGAAAGGAAAATGCAGCGGCGCGAAGAGAGAAACTGTTCGTGTCACCGCTCCGCTCCATAAGCTTTGACGAACTCGAGATTGATTCAAGGTGAGCGTCCACCTTCTTCTGCCTCTCTCTTTCTCAGACCCCATCGTTCTCCCTTTCTCGTCTGTACACTGATGCAACGGAATGCTCGCTCCCTGTGTCAAACTCCGTAAATTGACCGATTTCTAATGCAGAGAAGGCGCGAATGTGACTTATCACTCGACATGAATACTTGAGAAAAATACAATGAATCTGTTGAAAGATACGCAGCATCGGTGTGAGCAGAAGCGCTACTACGCCGTCTGCGCCAGCGCCGCCATGTGTTCATTACCATAATTCTATCGTTAAAATAAAAGAGAATCATCCTCTCTTCCAGCTTTCAGGCCTAGTGCGCTACACCTCGTGTCCTCTTTGATTTCTACTGTTCAAGAGGTTATGGGCCCAGGTCTGTGTCGGTGAACTGGTGAACTGGTGTAAAACTGTGAGAGTGACCCGAAGAGGTAGTGTGAACATCGGTTCGAACTTGTTAGACGAATTTCGATTGGAAATTGGAGTCAGCGTGGTGATCGAGGAGATCACGATGCCGGTCCAAGCAAGATCGACGAGGAACAACGAGATGTCCGAACCCCAAGCTAGTACTGCTTCGAGGAAGAGGCACATGGAGCGCTCAGGAGAATCGCCGGACTCTCTAACGGGGCCGACGTCAGCCGAACGAGCGATTCCCGATTCGTCAGAGGTCACGGGAGGAAACGGGCCAGCAACTATCTTCAACTCGTTTGCTCCAACAATTGATACCAGTGCTCCAGAAAGGCTCGTGCAAGCCTCCAGCTAGCCTGCCCCAACGATCAATGTCGACGTTCCGTCAACCTTTGAGAAGCTTCAAGGGGCATCGAATTATATGGACTGGCGGTTTGCTATGGAAGCCCATCTTTTCAATTGCGACCTCTGTGACTACGTGGAAGGCTCGAAGGAAGACGATCGTCAAGGGAAAAGGGCGCGCGCAGCTATCGTTTCTGGGATAAGCTCAGAATTGTTTTCGGATATTCGCGAATTCAGGTCAGCTAAAGCGATGTGGGACCGACTGGAGACACTGTATCAGCCGAGGGGCCTGTATCGTCAGGTCGCGCTACTCGAAGAACTCACGGCGACCCGTTACGCGGATTGCCCGGACATGAAGACGTATATATTTTTCTTCTTTCAAGGATCACACGATCGATTCTCACTTAAATCAGAGATTTATTTTAATGGGTCGATTGAAGCGATTTAACAACGATAGTATCGGTGGTATGATACGTAAGCATGAGAGCATTTACCTTAAATCAGAGAATCGATTTTCACGTGGTGAATCCCGCTCTTGGAGAACGCAGAATGGCTAGAGCCAGATTCTCCTATCTCTGGAGAGAAACGTGGCGGCAGTTTTCGAAAGGCGCCCTCTCTCAATATCGGCAGGGAGCAGGGACGATATTACATCTCCCCCCCCCCTCGTCTTCCTGAGATATCTAAACCAGGAAGTGAATAGGATCATCCACATTTGTTCTCCTTCAGGATGAGTTTGCTTGCGTGGAAAATGTTGGTCTCTTTTTTTCGCTTCCCACAATCGATCTCAAACATGGAGTTGGAGACTTGTTTCAGCACACGGAACGGTCCTATTCTCACATTATCTAGTTTGTTTCGATTGAGTTTGTTACCATTCTCAACGAAGACGAAATCTCCAACTTTTATGCGGCAATTCACTCGGTTTCTATCGAAATAGGCTTTGTTTCTCTCGAAATTTCTCATAGTGTTGAGGAGAGCTTCTGCTCGATCCTTCTCTAAGTTGCTTTCCTCCACTAGATTTGTTGGAACGATGCTAGATCTTGTCCCGTCTATTAGATAATTTGGTTCGAATCTCGTGACACTATGAATGGTCGAGTTATATTCCTTAACACATTCTTCAGCTATTCGTGACCAAGGCCTATTCGTACTTTCGTTGATTTTACATCTTATTCTATTGACCAAGGTTTGATTCAACCTTTCGTTTAAACCGTTCGATGATGGATTATTCACTGAGGTGAAAACGAGCTGAATATTTCGCTTCTTCAGATATTGTTTTAGGTCCTTAGAGTTCAGGGCTGAGTACTGGTCCATCAAAATTGTGCAAACTTTCTTATCGCGTGTAGTTTTGTCGATGAGATCGATGAATTGTTTGGTCGTCTGATTACTTGTCGTGGCGACGAAGGCTTTACGAGAGAAATGATCCACTAGTATGTGCATGTACTTTTTCGGGGATCTGTTTCCGGCGAATCCACCGACCGTATCGATGGACATTATTTGGAAGGGTCTCGATGCTGGGCCTAACTGGGATAGTTTCCCCATAGGTCTACTGTTCCGAGTCTTGTTCTTGATGCACACATCACAATTTCTACAAAAGCGTTCTAAGAGAGAATCCATGTACTTGAAATAATAGAATGGTCGTATCCTGGCCGCTAGGTGATGTTTTCCGATGTGACCGTAGAAGTCATGAACTTTTTGGATCAACCAGAGTCCGAATTTTTGAGAAACGATCAATCGCTGCCTCTCCCGAATTTTCTTGAAACTCAAACCATCCCTCCATATGACGTTTTTCATTCTTTCGATATTTGGATAGTTTGCTTTCTGATCGTGAATGATTTCTTCCAAGTTTATCAAATTGACGACCTTAAGAACATCGTCTTCGTTCTCGAAACTTTCCAGGACCGGATTCCTGGAGAGTGAGTCCGCTTCACATTGTCTTTGCCGCTTGCGTATTTGATCGTGAAATTATACTGAGAGAGATAGTATACGAGATCACCCAGGAATTCGTCGGTTCGTCGCTTTAACTCTCAGAGTCTCCAGCGGTTTGTGGTCCGTTATTATTGTGAAGTTTCTGCCGATCAACCAATATTGCCAGAAGATAATCGCTTGTTTGATTGCCAAACACTCTAGATGAATCGCTTTTTTCTTTCGCTCGGCTGGGCTGAGACGCTTCGAGAAGTAAGCGACTGGATGTAGGACATTATTTTCCTGTGGTTGTTTCAAGATTGCTCCTACTCCTTCGCCACTAGCGTCCGTGTAGATG